TATTGGAAGTGTCTAGGAGCAACAACAGCTCAGACCATGGAAACGCACAGGCTGTCGTAAAATCACCTAACTTCTGGTGGATCACTCACTACAGAGTTCCAAACTGCCTCTGGAAGCAACATCAGCACAAGAACTGTGTGTCTGGATCTTCATGAAATGGGTTTCTATGACTGAGCAGCTGCACACAAGCCTAAGATCACTATGCGCAATGGCTGGAGTGGTGTAAAGCGCCTCCACTGGACTCTGGAGTCATGAATCAGCTTCATTATCTGTCAGTCTGATGGATCAATCTGTGTTTGGTGGATGCCAGGAGACACTACCTACCGGAATACACAGTGCCAACAGTGAGGTTTGGTGGAGGAGGGATGATGGGCTGGAGCTGTTTTTCAGGGTTTGGACCCCTTAGTTCCAGTGAAGTGTGATGTTAATGCTACAACATACAAAGACATTTTAGACAATTACATGCCCCAACAGTTTAGGGGGTTTGGTGTGGAGGAACTCCAGTGGCCTGCACAGAGCCTTGACCTCAACTCCACTGAACACCTTCTGAATGAATTGCAAGCCAGGCCTTTTTGTGCAACATCAGTACCTGACATTAAAAATGCTTTTTTTGATTGAATGTAAGCAAATTCCCAGACAAACTCCAAAATACTGTGGAAAGCCTTTTGTAACCAGAAAATGGGGAGGCGACCAAAGCCATGTTAATGCCCATGTCCAACAAGCTCTTATAGGTGTGATGGTCAGGGGTCCACATACGTTTGGCCATATAGTGTATGTCTCAGCCATGTTAATGCTATGTAAACAAGAGTTTTGAGTTTGAGTTATTAAGCACACTCTTTTTAACGTATCCATATATTTGTGCATAATCTATATATCTATATCTGTATAAGTTGTTTACTATATATTTTGTATCTGTTGTATGTTAAAAATTAAAAATTCACATTTTATTAGCCATTATGTTTACAGCATACTTGATGCCTCGCAAATCCTGTCGTAGATGCAGATCGCAGACCGTGTTTCAAACTCCTCTTCTTTAATAATTTTCATCTTTTGAAATCCCAAATAAATCTGAGCTGTAAAATTAGAGGCAATCAAATCTAGAAAATGAAGCTAGCAATGTGGCTGGCTAAAGCATTAGCTGAATAATAAACAAAGCTGGTTACAGAAACATTGGACTGGCTTTACACAGCAAAGCTTTCACGCAACTAGTTGTTGCATGTTGGGAGTTGCCTGAAACATCATTTCCATGCAACTTGACAGTTACACAAGCAACAATTTTACAACAAAGTCAACAATACATTTGTTACTCCACTCGATAGTCAAATTACTTTAAGTACTTTTTGGTGTACCGTATCATTTTCACAATATAAACTCATCCACATCCAAATTTACATATTTGCAGTGTTTTTAAAGCCTTCACCTAACGCTGATTTTTTCAGTTCTGACTGCTCTGTGTACGTTAAGCCTTTGAAAACTGACATTCAAAGAGCCATTATGGTTCTTGATCGAGAGTGGAGTGAATGAATCTAGACACGTAGATCAGGATAACAGCAGCCTAAGAAAAAATAGAGACATAATCCGCCATTTAACCAGCTGTTAGCATTAGCTGGCTAGCTAAAGCAGCTGGTTACAGAAACGTTAGTTGCGAGAAACTCACATTTGTAGTTGTGGCTCAGGAAAAAAAACAACCAATCTTGGGTCTGTCCTGAGGGTCTGCCTTTCAACCGGCCCAAAAAGGCAAATCAATGGTTGAAAGTATGTCATTTGATGTATTCATGTGATACATTTTTGTCATTTTAGTTGGCTGTTTCAGAAACTTTTTCCATGAAGTGAAGATGCTTGCCACTGTTTCAGCTGAGTTTCAAATGAGTTGCAGTGTGCTTTACATAATGCGTCACAAGTACGATGTTGTTTCATGTAAGGTTGCATGACATAAAAAGTCATTCAGAGTGCTTTGACCATGAGAAATGATACAGAAACATCCCGAGTCAGAATTATTCCCAACTGTGATCATATGAACCAGATGTCTGAAGACGTGTAAATGCATTAAAAGCTGCCTCACTGAAAGGTGCAACATGAAATGGTTTCGAACTGAATTGTGCAAAAATCTTCTTAAAAAATGAATGAATTTAGATTCCCCTCTAAAGCTATTCTACTGTAGATGACCTCTGTATGACCTTTCACCCAGACTGTACTGAACTGCTTTAACATTAGCCATCATGGCAGGATAGCCAAGAGTTCACCATCAGTCCAGTCATCAGTCCAAGCCAACCCCGCTAGCACATTAGCGGTTTCAGCGGATTAGAATAGCCTATAAATAAACGAGTTTCTCAAAAGAGCCGTTATCCAAGAAGTGGCCCTCTGGGGACTTCATACAAAGCACCACTCTCTTCCTTCTATTGTCGTAAAGGACAAACTGATACAAAAAGCATTTTAAATCCACGCAGCATGTTGACAGAAGAAAAGCTTGATGTGTTTGCTCCAAAATTAGCTTGGGACGTTTGCCAACGAGCTAATTTTAAACCTTAAGTAAAGGAGGACAGGTGACGGTGGACACATCGGGATCTATAACGAGAACTGCACACTCTTGATCTTTTGTAATCCCTGGTTAAGCCTACAACACATAGTGTTCTGGAGAAAGTCCTATATCTGATTATAGCAGTCTGATCTGCCTCCATTAGAGCAAATCCAGACACGCCACCCTTCCCAAAGCCTCCTATACCTTAATACATTCACTTCCACTCAAGCATATTTGTAGGGAAAGTAATCTGCTTCCTCGGTTCCATTTCAGCCCCTGGCGCTTAGTTTCTAAGTCTCTTTTTTGGGTTTTGTTTCATTCTGCTCTGTTGGTAACAGCACCTTGGTTGCTATGCTGTTGCTCACACCTCACATGTTGGAGCTTTGGCATTTTATTTTATACCAAAATGATCCAAAAGGAAGAACAGAGCCCAAAACACTTCAGTTCATACGCTGATAGATGCTCAATGTACAAAAGACGGGTTCTTCAAGGGTTCTTTAGTAAAGACCATGGTTCAGTATAGAACCATGAACACTCAAATAACCATTTGCATGCATAAAGAGTTCTTTGCATGGGGAAATGGTTCTTCAGATTGATGAAAACTGTGTTGTATATGGTTCTGCACAGAAATGGTTCTGCTATGGTTACGATGTCAAGCTTGTTGCCATAGTGGAACCCTTTTTTGCGGCTATACTGAACCATTTATAAAAGATGCATCTCATTCCATCGTAAAGAAAAACTTGTAACCATGCAAAGAACCGTTTACGCATTCAAATGGTTCTTTGAGTTGTCACGGTTCTGTATAACCACTGCCTTTACTAAGCAACATTTGACGAAGCCCTTTTTTAAGGGTGTAAAGAAAGTGATCCTATATAGAACCATGAACACTCTTGCATGATTCAAGGTTCTTTGCATCATGACAGGGTTCTTCAGACTGATTGAGAATGTGCTGTTCATGGTTCTATGTAGAACCTTTTTGAAAAAAAGGGGTTCGCTAGTGCTTCGATGTCAAGCTTGTAAGAATAGAAGAAGAAGAACCCTTTTTGGTCCTATATAGAACCCTTTTCAAAAAGGTTCTATATAGAACCATCTACAGCACAAAAAAAAACAGTCAGTGGTGATACTGAGATAGAAACGTACAAACTTAAAAATGGTTTTTCAAGGGTTCTTTAGTAAAGGCAATGGTTCTATTTAGAATAATGAGTCATATACAGAAACATTTCATGCTTTAACGGTTCTTTGCATGGTGTATTGATGGAGATTGATGGTAGATTGATGGAGAATTTGAAAATGGTTCTATATAGTACAATGTCAAGCTTGTAATGACAGAAGAACTCTTTTTGGTGCTAAATGGAACCATTTTTAAAAAGGAGGAATGTACTCCACCGGCTGAGGGGTTTTAAAGGAGACCATCAAGCGGAGAACCGAATTTCATGGTTAAATCTCATTTTTCCTTTCTAAAGAGCCCATTTTGGAGGCGTTTTCGGCTGACCTTTTTGACGCCTCCCTGACAGGACGCGCAAGCTAGTGGAGTGGCCGCTGGTGCAGTAAATGCTGATAAGGTAAATGTTGGCCCTGCTGAAATAACAATAGGCGCTATTAAGTGTTTCAAGGGTTCTTTAGTAAAGGCAATGGTTCTATTTAGAACAATGAGTTATTTATAAAAGCATTTCATGCTTTAATGGTTCTTTGCATGGTGTAATGGTTCTTCAGGTTGATGTAGAATTTGAAAATGGTTCTATATAGTACCAAATACAGCACATTCTCCATCAATCTGGAGAACTATTTCACCATGCAAAGAACCATTTAAGCATGCAGATGGTTCTAGATAGATTTCATGGTTGTAGAACAATTACCTTTACTAAAAACCCATAAAGAGCCATGTTTTAAAGGATGTGTAGTGATGCTGTAAGAAACTACACGATTTATACTTTTATAAAAATACATCATGTATTCGTCTCTGTACTGTACAGTAATGATCTACACGGTTACTATAAGGTTCTAATAGGAACCCTACAGAAATGTCTGTGATATTATTTGTAAGGGAGGCTTTGGCTTTGAAGATTGTAGCTACTGAATCATGACGTGCGTAAAAAGACACACAAACACGAAATTAAAGTGTCATTTACTGAGCTCGGGTGCAGAAATGATATATAAAGTGTGTAAAGCAACATTAGACTCACTCACAGCGCGACAGAGCACATAAACAGTAATTTAATAAGCACATAAACAGGAATTCAATAGAGTTAACGCAGCCCGGATTAAGAAACGCGCAGCCGTTGACAACTGATTTCTTTGCGTCATCCCAAAACAAAGTGCGCAATGATCCCGCCCCTTCTGGGTACGTCACCGGCCTGGACCAATCCGATCACAGCGCTCCAGCGACGCGGTGGAGCTCCGTCCAATCAGAGCCGAGGTCTCGGGCAAATCAAAGTTCTGAGAGCGCGAGAGCGAGGCAGTGCGGTGTAGCAGTGGGGCTGAGAGCGCGCACCGTAACGGTAAATAACGGTCGCTGAGAGCTCGCGTTTTAAACGAGCGGATGGAAGGGAAGTACTCGACCGGCTGAGGGGCTTTAAAGGAGACCACCGAAGGGAGAACCGAATTTCACTGTTAAATCGGATTTCTGTTCTCTAAAGAGCCCGTTTTGGAGGCGTTTTCAGCGGACTTTTTGGCGCCACCCTGACAGGACGCGCGAGCTGGTGGAGTGGCCGCTGGTGCAGTAAATGCTGATAAGGTGAATGTTGGCCCTGCTGAAAAACCCAGTAGGCACTGATAAGTATTTCTGTTGGTCCCTACAGGTTTTGTAAGGCTGTTTTAATGGGTCGATATCACCGTGTAAAGGATCTTAATGGTTTAACAGGTGACCGGTGGCTGATTCTAAATGCATTTGATGGTTTCCTAATGGGATCTAAAGGTGCTCTACAGGAAACTAGTGGTCTCTGTTGGAAGCCATTAAGCCAATTCCCATTAGAAAGCAAAGCCATTAGGTTTTAATGGCAGTTGTTTTCTAATGGTCCTTTTTCAGCAGGGAGGTAATGTTAAATACTGAATGGAGTAAATGTTGGTAACGTAAATGTAGGTGAGATAAATGTTGGTGAAGTAAATTATGATGGTGAGGTAAATGTAGGTGAGATAAATGTTGGTGAAGTAAATTATGATGGTGAGGTAAATGTAGGTGAGATAAATGTTGGTGTTGGTGAGGTAAATGGTGTTGATGAGGTAAATGTTGGTGATGGTGAGGTAAATGTTGGTGATAGTGAGATAAGTGTTGGTGATGGTGAGATAAATGTTGGTGATGGTGAGGTAAATGGTGTTGGTGAGGTAAATGTTGGTGATGGTGAGGTAAATGGTGATAGTGAGATAAATGTTGGTGTTGTTGAGGTAAATGTTGGTGATAGTGAGATAAGTGTTGGTGTTGGTGAGGTAAATGTTGGTGATGGTGAGATAAATGGTGTTGGTGAGGTAAATGTTGGTGATGGTGAGATAAATGGTGTTGGTGAGGTAAATGTTGGTGATGGTGAGGTAAATGGTGTTGGTGAGGTAAATGGTGTTGAGGTAAATGTTGGTGATGGTGAGATAAATGGTGTTGGTGAGGTAAATGTTGGTGATGGTGAGGTAAATGTTGGTGATAGGTAAATGTTGGTGTTGGTGAGGTAAATGGTGTTGGTGAGGTAAATGTTGGTGATGGTGAGGTAAATGGTGTTGGTGAGGTAAATGTTGGTGATGGTGAGGTAAATGGTGATAGTGAGATAAATGTTGGTGTTGTTGAGGTAAATGTTGGTGATAGTGAGATAAGTGTTGGTGTTGGTGAGGTAAATGTTGGTGATGGTGAGATAAATGGTGTTGGTGAGGTAAATGTTGGTGATGGTGAGATAAATGGTGTTGGTGAGGTAAATGTTGGTGATGGTGAGGTAAATGGTGTTGGTGAGGTAAATGGTGTTGAGGTAAATGTTGGTGATGGTGAGATAAATGGTGTTGGTGAGGTAAATGTTGGTGATGGTGAGGTAAATGTTGGTGATAGGTAAATGTTGGTGTTGGTGAGGTAAATGGTGTTGGTGAGGTAAATGTTGGTGATGGTGAGGTAAATGTTGGTGAGATAAATGTTGGTGTTGGTGAGGTTAATGTAGGTGAGATAATTGTTGGTGTTGTTGAGGTTAATGTTGGTGTTGGTGAGGTAAATGTAGGTGAGATAAATGTTGGTGAGATAAATTATGATAGTGAGGTAAATGTAGGTGAGATAAATATTGGTGTTGGTGAGATAAATGTAGGTGAGATAAATGTTGGTGAGATAAATTATGATAGTGAGGTAAATGTAGGTGAGATAAATATTGGTGTTGGTGAGGTAAATGTAGGTGAGATAAATGTTGGTGAGATAAATGTAGGTGAGGTAAATGGCGATGGTGAGGTAAATGTAGGTGGGATAAATGGTGGTGTCGGTGAGGTAAATATGAGGTAAATGTTGGTGAGATAAGTGTTGGTGAGGTTAATGTAGGTGAGATAATGTTGGTGATGGTGAGGTAAATGTAGGTGAGATAAATGTTGGTGAGATAAATTATGATAGTGAGGTAAATGTAGGTGAGATAAATATTGGTGTTGGTGAGGTAAATGTAGGTGAGATAAATGTTGGTGATGGTGAGGTAAATGTTGGTGAGGTTAATGTTGGTGTTGGTGAGGTAAATGTAGGTGAGATAAATGTTGGTGAGATAAATGTAGGTGAGGTAAATGGCGATGGTGAGGTAAATGTAGGTGGGATAAATGGCGATGGTGAGGTAAATGTAGGTGGGATAAATGGTGGTGTCGGTAAGGTAAATATGAGGTAAATGTTGGTGTTGGTGAGGTAAATGTAGGTACGTTAACCGTTGGTGAGGTAAACGTTAAAAGCGAATTCCACCGCCACTGATTTTTCAGAATGTCTGCATAATTACATGGTTAACACGTCAACAAAGTCATTCAGAGTGGTTTGGTGTGAAATGATCTGTTTTAGAGAAACTTACAGTCAGAATTTATCACAGTGGTGGTGACAGGAACCAAACGTCCACCTCTGAAAACTCCCTCTGATTTGAGTCTAAAACATATTTTATTCAGTTTATTTTAATCCATTCTTGGTGGAAGGATACAATAAGGGTAGTCTAAGGCAAATAGCCCCCACTTTTCAGATTTTCCACTATTATCAGGAGGCACGTGTAGGTTCACTGGTGGCTCTGGATAGTAAATAAAATGGCTATATATATATATGTTTGTAATCATCGAGACTCCTGGTTTCTATCGCCAAATCTAAGTCAGTAAGTTTGTCTATAATAAACCATTTCACATTAAACCACTCTGAATGCCTTTGTTTACATCTCAACCACTGAATTATGCAGAAATGTTGAACAATCGGCAGAATTCCTTCAATGGTAATGAAGTGAGGTAACCATTGGTGAGGTGAGGTAACCGTTGGTGAGGTAACTGCTGATGACTTAACTGTTTCTTTATCAAACACAGCCTGTCTGATTTGGAGAAAATGACGGAAATCAGTGAGAAGGAGAATGAACCTCAGAACCAGCGAGACTTCCAGCGCTCCCCTGGGACTGTCACCGGCCAGCCTGAGTCTAAGGTGAGCCAGAGCCATCAGACTCACAAAACGCTGCTTACACAGTGAGTGGGGTGAGCACTGCTGTAAAAATGGTGAAAATCTGTGACTTTATTCCCATTGGTTACTTTAGGGAAGTCGATAGTGCATGATTTGCCTCGCTGGCAGACGAGCGACTGATAATCAATGGCTGTGGTCCGTGCACTGTGAATATCTGCAGAAATGAAAGTGTTGAAGAGCTCTGTAAGTCTGAAACGTGGGCATGAAGAGAGGAAGCAGTAATGGAGTCCTGGCTATTGTAAGAGTTCATGATAGATAAACTACAAAGCTGAAACTTACACAATACAACAGAGTAGAACAGAATGAAGTGAACAGAATAGTTTAAAATATAATATAATATATTTTATACAACAGTGGGTTCCGGCCACGCAAGCTGATTGGTTGAGAAGTGTTCTAACCGTGCTGTTATTTCACCATAACGTCACAGGTTTTTCACAAACACTGTATCACTCTGCTGAGACGCCAACGCAACGACTCTGACAGCTGTAGGAGACGCTCGAGCCATTTGAACGTTTTTACTTCTTACTTTGCCACAAACAGAAAATGGACACTTTTAAGATCACATTTGACCGACAGCCGATTTGGTCAGACTCTGAAGATGAGACGACACTAAATTCCCAAACTGTCATCACCACTGAGCAGCTTTTCAGTCGGCAGCTGTGACAGAAGAACAGCTAAACAACCTGGAATCACCAGAAATGAACCCAAAACCATTCGCCAAACTAAATGGGCTGTAAGATGCTTTACAGACTGGCTGGAATAAAACAACACTAATATTGATCAGCAAAAATTGACAAAACTGAGCTAAACTTGATATTGCGGCAGTTTTATGGCTCAGTCCGATTTGGTCAGACTCTGAAGATCAGACTACACATTTGGCGAATGGTATTCGGTTCATTTCTGGCTGATTATTTCTGACATTATGATGTTCCGGACCTTTGCTTGAGATTTTCACTAATTGGTCCTTATTGAATTTTAATTAAATCATTTAATTGAATTGGATAGCTCAAAATGACAGAACCGAATTGAAAGGGGGGTAAGATAGAATGGAGTAGAATTTAGTATGATTGGATAATAATCAGTGAAACAACAGAATAGAACAGAATGGGATAGAATAAAACAGAATCAAATGGGATAAGATAGAATTAAGTAGAACTGCATAGTATACACTTTAAAAAGACTTTGAGGGATCTTTAGTAAGGAAAATAGTTCTATATAGAACCATGAACACTCAAAGAACCTTTTGCATGATTAAAGTGTTCTTTGCATCATGAAAGTGTTCTTCAGATTGATGGAGAACGCGCAATAATTGATTCTTTATAGAACTTTCTTGAAGATGGTTCTATATAGCACCCAAAAGTGTTCTTCTATTGTTACGATGTCAAGCTTCTAACAATAGAAGAACCCTTTTGGGTGCTATATAGAACCTTATTAATATAGATTCTGTATAGAACCATCTATAGCACATTCATGGACATTTTCCATCAATCTGAAGAACGTTTTCATGATGCAAAGAACACTTTAATCACATAAAGGGTTCTTTGAGTGTTTATCATTCTATAAAGAACCATTTTCTTTACTAAAGAACACTTGAAGAACCATCTATTTTAAGATTGTAGAATAATAGATCTGAATAGATTGGCGTAGAATAGAGCAGATTAAAATATGTAACTTAATAACTAAATATGTAATGGAACAGTATGAAATACAGCGCCTTCTAGACTTATCAGCCTTGAAAAAAGTGCAGGAATGCCAATAATTGAGATGTGTTTTTGAGAAAATGTTCATTTTTATATATAGATTTTTTTTTATTTGAATAAACTTAACTCAGTTTTCGTCAAGCTGATGAAATACATTTCTTTGTAAGATATTTGCCTCGAGGGTGCTAATAATTGTGGAGGGCACTGCAGAATATCATATAATAGACCCCAAAGTGCAGTAATGCCATAAAACCCGTCAGGGGTTTCAGTTCGTTATTCTGACCCTGAGTCTTTAGCCATCAATCCCAGTCTCAGTGTGACAGTTCTATCAGCCTGTAACACTGGAAGACCGATACGCTGCTATGCCTCATGGCTTCTTACGTAACAGGGCATATCTGCTGATGGTAGGGATGCAGAGAGAAGGGTTAGGGCCAGAGCTCTGTGGCTTCTTGTGGAGAAGTTGGCCTAAAACTGTTTGCATGTTCATTGTCGGCTGCTCTGCGTTAAACTTACCAGTTTATTAGTTACGTCTGCTTTGTACTCTCATGTACACATTTTGTCAGAATCACCTGTCATATAGTTGCACTTTGTAGGTATTAAATTAAGAACTCTTTTAGCCACCTCCTTCTTTCTTGTCCACGAATAGAATGGACCACCATATGACCACCACTGACCAGACATTGTGAGTGGTTGACCACTCACAGCACAGCAGTAATACAAATATGGCAGTGACATATCAGAGGGTCAGTGAGTGAATATGGTAGGTTTACCAAAAAAACAGTAGCTATGTTTATTAATTGCACAGTCAGAATAGAATATGTTCATGTATACACTTGAATCAGACTGGACTAGTCCAATTGAGGCCATTCCGAATACGGTTTCTATGGGATTGAACAAGATGGGTAATCTTGTAAAATAATCAGTTAAATACACTTCTCAGAAATAAAGGTACTAATCTGTCACTGGGGTGGAACCCTCAAGGGTACATCTCAGTACCTTTAGTCAGGGAACATAATATCATAATCTATAACCCCGTCTCGTCTCCAGGCTTTTTATTTTACTGTTCTGATTTATAACATTTGGTTATGAAAAGGTACAAATCCGTACTTTTCACCTGGAAAAACTTGAGGGAACATTTACATTGTTTGTACCATGATGAACAAAAAATGTACCCGAACAGAACCTTTATTTCTAACAGTGTAGAAGAATAATATCCTAAATGCCTGTATCTGATTACATTCCCAATCGGAAAGTTTAAGTCCGTTCTGATCATGTTCGTCGCATCATAGTGAAAGTTTATACCGTTCAACATGGCGGAGCAGAAACTGGTCTGCAGAGGAGACGAAGTTTATGCTCTGATCTTTAAAAGACGGCGGTGGGACGGACGTCCAGCTTATGTGTCTCAGAACACGACGTCTTCCTCTCGGCCTTCTTTAATAAGGACATGTGAAGGACGTTTTTCCTGAGTCTGACATCATTTTAAAGTCATTAAAAACACAAGCACTGCTCACTGCTGCTCGTCTCACTCTGACTGGACTCACGTGATGCTGGTTGTCATGGTAACATCTATGCTGAGTGGTTCTCTACTCATGTTTGTAATTTGCCCTTCGCATATGTATGTAGTTAACTTTTTAACTCAGCTAACATTACTTACTACCTACTACACTTAAAAAAGATGGTGCTTAAAGGGTTCTTTAGCAAGGAAAATGGTTCTATGTAGAAGCATGAACACTCAAAGAACCCTTTGCATGATTAAAGAGTTCTTTGGTTTGGTGGAAAATGTGCATGAATGTGCTATAAATAGTTCTTTATAGAACCTTTTAAAAAGGGTTCTATATATCACCCAAAAGCGTTCTTTTACCATTACGATGCCAAGCCATTTTCAAAATGGTTCTATATAAAACCATCCACACTCTTTAATCATGCAGATGCTTCTGTGAGTGTTCATGGTTCTATATAGAACCATTTTCTTTACTAAAGAACCCTTGAAGCACCATCTTTTTTTAAAAGTTACACCGTATCTTTACTCTGTAACTTTTTTCGGTTTGTGAAGAATTAACCGACACCAAACCTGACAAATTCATGAAATGATGCTGAAAGTTTAACTTCATCAAATCTATATGAGTGTAAAATGTAAATTGCCGCTCTCGCTCTGAGGCGTTCTATCAGGTGTAGCTGCGCTATGTACTATCTGCTTCACTACACACCTGGAACAGCAAGTGCCAGCGTCAGCACATTTAGGAGAACTAACTCTTTTTACCCCGGAGATGATAGACAGTACGCTTTAATTTCTGAAGCTTGTGTCGAACACCTTGTTTGTTTATGCATGTTTGTCTCCGAAACTGATTACGCTGTAATGTCTGTGCGTTCGTTTGTGTATCTGTCTGTGTGAATCGATGTCTGTGTGTGGGGTTCAGAAGCACATGGTAAGATGGATGACTCTATCAGGTAACAGATGCTGTGCCTCTCTTCCCAGCGGCTGCGCTATAACTCAGAGACACTTAGAAAGCAGCAGTCAGGCCAAAACAAAATGCAGGCCCTGTCTTCACGCAGGTACTCTCACCAGGAGAGCTTACACATCTCCCGCTGAACTACTGCTGACGCACTTTGAGGAGCCTTCTATAAATCTTAAAAGAAAGGCCACTGAAAGACACCACTTCTTTATCTGTAGGCGTATTTTGATTGCTTTAGTACGACGGCTGAATGTTAAAAGGATACAATACTGAATGTGTTCATTAGCAGCTATAAGGGGAATCTTATGTCTTGTGCATTTACTATGATGTAGACAGCTGCACACAATTGGAAAGCTGTAGAAGGCAGAGTGAAAAGGTAAATCTTGGCATTGGTTTTGTTTTCGTGGTTAAAAATGCAGCCTTGTCAAAGCTTTGACAGTTCTGGGGCCCAGCCGCTGTGTGTAGTTTGGAGTAGATGTATTAGCAGTACCCACTTGTGGTTCTTGAAGAAAGAGCTCTTGGAAAACGTTTAAAGATCAATCTTTCGGCCACAACACACCCACCTAAACACCAGCAGTCAGTTTGATTCACAAAACTAGGTCAATGATCCGGCATTCTCACAATACTTTGAGCAAAATTAGAACGATGACTGAACTTCAGGTTGTTGCACAAATTACTAAAAACAGTAGAGCTGAGACAGGAGGAGTCCTGAGTGAGTTCCTGATTGGTGCTGATTACTTCAGATTATACAGTCGCATTAGATGCCGTACACTCTACACCATGCACACCGTCACAGTTCAGCACCAACTGA